ACACTGCTTGAGCACTCAACTGCGGTCGGACATGTACACTTCGAGTGAACAGGTATATATAGCATGCATGGACTGTCTTGGATGATTGCTTCTGGACACATAGCCCATGTTGACCCTTCGGGAGTTGCAGTGTCAAGGCATGAGCAGGCCATCTACAGGTCCACAATGCCCTGTGATTACATGGCCTACAAATCCACGAAACACACCGTGGAACCCATGCCAGGGGGCCATGTCTTAGGTCGCAACGCTGAAAAATCCCAAGTAGAAAATGTTATATATAATCCTTTCGACAACCTCTGAGAATGGTTCATGGTCACATGGTTCACAAGTGGGTCACGACTTGCGTGGTTCATGGGAAACGGTTCAGAGAGTTCATTTTTTTTTCCTCCGGTGGCCCCACTCTCCTATACTCTTCCTGGGGCTGTGCTTAATTGAAACATGGTGAAACCCTCTTTTGGGTCGTAAAGGTAAACATCCAACCGATCGCCGGTGTCCTCTTTCGGCTCCGCGTCAAGCCGCCCAGCAAGAACGCGGTGCCCAGACTGAGCGGATGGCTTCGCCGCGTCACGTGACGCGTCACAGTCGAGTCGGGGCACATTTCTTCAGGTCGATCCAGGCATTGGAGTCTGGGGACGATTTCAGGGTGATCTCATCCCCCTAACCATTTGACCATTTTCTCATCGAATGGGACAAACGATTTCAGCGTGCAGCCACTCGGGTGTCTGTCAGGGGAGTCACCGCCTCCCCGAGCGGCACTTCTGACCATGAGATCTGGATTCTGGATGGATCACCACATGCATTCGGACTGGAGTGCGAACCTATGGCAAGGAGAAGCGCTGTGGAAGCGTGCGAACCTATGACCTGTCTCTACCCCCTCCCCTCACCACAAACACAATTAAAAAAACAAGGCACCACCGCGTGGCTCGAAAAAACTCGAGGCACTTGCAACATCCTACCTTCTCTTCTTCCTCATCGCTCCATTTCTTCATCCGGGATTGCCACAACCGAACAAGTTTGATGCTACCTCACGTACCTGCATGCCCCCTCCTTTTCCTTTTCCTTATCCTTTCGTTCTTTTTCATTTTCCTTTCCTTTTTTCCATTCCTTTTTTCCATTCCTTTTCCTTTCCTTTCCTATCCTTTGCTTTCCTATCTGGGAGTTGTATACAGATCAAATTGTGAAATTCCACCAACTATTGACATTTGTCAGGTTTCATCCCCCCCCCAAACCACACCTCCTAAATGAAAGCAAAAATGAAAATTCATTATGTGCCCCCCCTGCATGTTCATTTATAAGGGGGTCCTGATGTTTCAGTCTTCAGTGGAGGCAAAATCAAGCTCACCAAATCAAAGGCATTTCTCCCGAATGCGCAGCGAAGGGTTCTCGTTTCACTCTGGGGGTCTGGGGGTAGAGCCTTGTTCGCGACTCGTTGTCTCAGCGTTCGCAACCGCCCGCGGTAGAGCGATAAGGCACTGCCATTGGGGGAAGCTTGTGGAGAGGGTTTTGCATGGAAGCGTGACGGGTCAGATTCGTGTGAAATAGCGAGGAACCGTGTGGAAACGTAAGATGTTGAAGTATGGATGATTTCTCTGCACAGGCGCAGCGTTTTGTGAGATCCGCAGTTTTCTGCGTAGTTGGATGTGGCTGTGACATCGGGATTTGCGTTTCAGTGCGTTGCATTGAAGCTCTGTTTTCGTGACAAGTCTCAGCTGAAATGGCGATTCTATGGGTGGGAGTGTGCCCAGAACGTGTCGAAGTCATTCCAAACGTTTGGAATTCTGACAGGCTATTACATTGTTTTGACGCTACATGCAAGCATGTTCTGATGATGCCAAAAAGGATTTGTTTAACATTTGTTGTTGGCAAAAGCATTTGTTCAACATTTTGTGAATGTTGAACGTTTGGCATTTGTAAAGGAAAAACTGAACGAATGCATGCCTAGGACGTGTGGTGTGGTGCATTTGATTTGAAGCTGACATGCTATGATATTGTCGCTGTTCGTGACTCAGGCAGAACATTGTGCGGGCCCTGAGGTGGGCGAGGTCTCATTTCGTAGGCGCAGTATGTTGTGCGTGTTAAACGTGTGGACGTGCAAATTTTTGTGGCACAAGAGTGTACCACAAGAGTGTCCTGCAAGGGTGTCCCACGAGAGAGTGTCATACAAGAGTGCCCCACAAAAGTGTCCTCCCAAAGTGTCCTGCAAGGATGTCCCACAAGTGTTTCCTACATCTACAAGAGTGTCCCACAAGAGTGTCCGACAAGAGGGTTGCGTTTCGTGGTGCTCCGGCGGTACTGCCCCCCGGCCTTAAGAGAGAAAGTTAAGAAGAGCGAGAGGTGAAGATGTGAGATGTAGATGAGAGGTACAGATGTGAGATGTAGATGTGAGGTACAGATGTGAGATGTAGATGTGAGGATGTGAAGATGAGCAGAGATGTAGATGTACAGTTGCGAATATATATATGAAGGTGAGCAGAGATACAGGTGAGAATGTGGATGTGCAGAGGTGAAGATGTAGATGAGACGATGTGAAGATGTAGATGAGACGATGTGAGATAGAGTTCTGCAGATGTTTTTTTCGGGAAAAATGGTTTGGGTGTTGGTTTCGTATATGTGTTTGCATCCGGGTTCGTGGGTTCCATCTTGTTTTTTTTGTACACGGGCGCCCAAGTGGCGCACGTGAAAGGTGAGACTCCTGCCTGGAACCCAGGGCCCGGAGAAGGGCCAACGGAAGCTGAAGCACAAGCCGGGGAAACCCTGGAGAGCCCACAGCGACCGAAACGAACGGGGAAGAATCAGCGACGAGAGGTCGCCCGTGGCGCACATCCCGTGGGGTCACTCAATTTCTGAACAAGCTTTTGGATCTCACGAATGAGTCTATTTGCTGCTGAAATCTGGTCTTTGTTGTCTTTGTTGTGCATCTTACGGACATCAGCTGGTGTCAACAACTTCTCAGGCCCTGTGTAGGCTGCAAGCAAGGTAGAATGCCTGAAGTGGATGAACTGGTCACCACTAGACGGCTTGGGATCTTGCGACAGTACTTCGTACATGTCAAGCCCCAACTGGCGACTCGGGGCAGCCATCACCTTGATCCTGGCTAGGGTCTCCTCCATCAGATTTCGCCCCGAAAACTTCAAGACAAATCGGAACATCCCTGGCATTGCACTGGCGCAGGTAGGTTTGGATTTCATGGCCCACTCGAAAGTCTTCCCGGCTTTCCTTTGCTGGTGTCAAACAATTTCGCAACAGACCTGGCTAAGAAACCAACACACCCCGAGAGTTTCACCCCAATTCAATACAAGTACTGCAGTCAAAGTTTACCAAAATAGACTGAAGATCAACTAGCTTCTCGGCTTGGCTCACGCCATTCAAAATCCTCTGCAATTTCTGGAGTTCATGCTCACCTCGAGCAAGTTGACCAGAAGAGTTCATGGCCGCTTGGATCAGGAGTGCTAGATTTGGAAACTCCATCATTGCCTCGTGTGCTATCACTTTCCAGCGAAGGCCTGACTTGCAGACATCTCCAAAAACTGGGTCCTTTGTTGCAATCCGTTGGTGGCTCATCTTGCCATCCAATGTCAGTCCCTGACACTTTGACGGCACACTGGCATTGATGGCTCGCAGGCCTGCGTTCGTGTGTGAACAACTAGCCATCGCGGTTGTCCCAATGGACTCCCACATACTCGGGCTCGATGCGTTGCTCACGCAAGAGCCCGTGCGTTGCCAGAGTGATCAGGACTCCATTAACGCCAGAAAGCAGCGCGCCTTCCTCGGCCTTCGAATTGGCCTTGGCCAGATCCGCCTTCACCAAAGAATCCATGAGCGCTGGAGCCGAAAACCTTTAAATTACAACAGCGAGCCAGTGTGGCCCTGGCGGGTGCATGCACCCTAGGCAAGGGGCTGCCAGGAATCCCACGCGCGCACGAGGACGACGAACGACGGCCGGGTCATGCTGGGGTGCCGGTGGCGAAGACCCAGGCAATGAACTACCTCTTGAATCGAAGTGGATCTGGCCGTTCAATGTTAGTGGTGTTCCAGCCGCCGCTCCCGACCCACAGGCGCGGACGTCGAAGAAGGTCACCGCCGCACTTGCCGTATACTCAGAGGAGCCGCAGTAGCCGAGGACGGGGCTTATAGGGAGCTGGGCGCCTTCGTCGGATGAGCCCAGCACGTCGTCCAGCGCGCAATAGATGCATCACAGTGTCAGAAAAATACTGCTTGGCTGCTTGGCCCAAAGCTCAAAGACACCAAGCTCGGGCAGCTCCTTATCCTCTCCATCGATGCTTTGGTATGGCTGTTGCACTCATCCGAATCACTGACGGGCCCTTCCACTCCAGCGCCTTCTGGACGTTTCAAGAGACGTTCGAGGACGTTAGACATCCTCCGGCACTCGAGCTTCCGGCACCTTTGGATCTTTGCGTCACAGTCCTCCAGGCTTTCTGCTTTCTGCGAGTGCAAGGCAAGGACTCCTCCGACAGTCAAATTCAAAGACTTCTGATTTTAAAGGGTTTGGACACGCCAAGCGGTCAACAACATCCCAAGCACACGCTCTTTCAGGATCGAAGACTGCGCTATGTCCAACGACTTGCATTTGCACCAACCCCGATATTTTGCACCACCGAAGTCACCGAAGTTAAAGGAAACTCCTATAGACTCGGGTCACCTATAGTCAGACTCTTCTTTTTCTAGTCGACCTGGACCCCTTGTCGGGCCAGTCTCTGATTCCTGGAGTCGCGACGTCATCGAGCTTCCAAGGACCAGCTGCTGTGCAGCTGCGAGCGACGCATCGAAAACCAGAGAGCTTCGAGGGATCCGGACCTGTCTAGACAGCCTGCAACCTGCGTTTCGGACAAAACATGAAAGTGATTCGGATTGGGACTGGGGTTGGCACGACGGGACTGGCGATGCCACTCCCGATCACTTGGGGTTGAGAAATCAGTCACTGAACCAGACCAAGTTCAAAGTGTTGGGGAATGCTTACTGCAGGACACCTGCTGGCACAGTCACCACTGAGAGCTACCCTGGCACTACGTTCTCCTACAATCTGGCTGCACAAAGGTGCAAGAATATATGCTGTGATACAATATCAAATAACTATATGTCCATGCGCCAAATTTAGCAGCAACATGCCAACATGCCTCCAAAGCAGTTGGTAGGGACGGGCCTGGTGCTCATGTACCTGCACCTCTTAGAGGGGAATGCCTTCGAAAAACAGCTCTCTCCGACCTCGCAGCCGACTTGACCAGCGGTCGGGCGCCCCAGCACTAGCAGGGTGTTCGAAAGAACGGAGCCCAACAAACTGGCCTGAGGCATGGCTGCCAGACACTCACGAAGTTTGTCAAAAAACAGACCGGTGCTGCTGGACGTTTCATGGTTTTCTGTGAATGTGCGGGAGTCCAGCGGGTAGTACGGCCAGGAGCCCCGATCGAAGCGTCCTTGTTACTAGTAGCGGTGCCAGGAGCCCCTAGTAGCGTCCTTGCTCCTAAAACATGGTTTGGTGAGACTCCAGAATTCGTAAGCAATGTCAGAAAGGGGTGGCCCCCCTTTACATGCTGCATCCCTGTTTCATGCTTCGGAAGAAGCGTCCTCTAAAGGTCCTCCGGCGTCCTTCCCCCGGAGTCCAAGTGGATGAAAGTGTGTAGGGATTCTCATGCCTGTGAGAAGGTGATTGGACTGGTGCCTACCTAATAAAAGAGTCTTGAATCACCTTTTTAAAAGGACGTGAAGCCAACGTTGTTGTCATCCAAAAAGGGCCGATTCCGAAAAATAGTATTGATTTGTTCTGCTAGTTGGCCTGCAAACATGCGTGCGGCATCGCCCCCCCAAAAGTCTGTGGCTTCATGATTTTCTTCTCCAATCAGTCTCTTTCCGAATAGAGACCCCTTAGAAAGACATGCCTGATATGCCCCAGTACCTTTGGTGGGAGAGCACTAACAGAACTACCCAGTTGTGGCGAAGCACCCTTCAGGCATCTACATTGAGTAGCTAAGGCAAGGCATGTAAAGTATATATATATATATGGGTTTGTATATTTTTTAAGGTTCCCGGGCCGGGATGTTTGACTATGGGGTATGCTTCGGAGGTATGCTTCGGGGGTATGCTTCGGGGTATGCTTCGCGCACTGTGAAGACTAAAGTAGTAGCATTTCCAGAGGGTATGCTTCAGGGTATGCTTCGGGGGTATGCTTCGGGGTATGCTTCGCCTAAGTCGAACATCCCAGTCCTACATAAACTGGACACCTTAAAAAAAGGACAAGCCCATATAAACCATACAAACATTTTATCTACAAGGACGAGGCAAGGGATTGACACATGTCCGCCGGGTGCAACACGGGACGCGTTCCCCAAACTCCCACCTGCCATACTCTCCCCATACTCTCCCCTCCCAAAAAAAGGTTCGAATCTCCACCCGACACACCTTCACAATGTCTAAGAGGTTCGTGCGAATGGACCTGAGGAGCAGCCGCAAGGCTGGTGGAAGAGCAGGCAGAAGAGCCAAACACTCGGGTTAACTGTTAACTCATCCGTGGAGGCGCGAGAGGTTGGAGGAAAAAACAGGGATCCGCATTCAGGTTTGGCAGCCAAACGGTCCCATCAATGCCATATCAAAACATGTCAAACCTTCCGAAATTTAAAAAACTTGGTATTCAGAGGTCCTTTTCCCACCATTGGTCCTCATTGGATGCCGATTCTCCGGCTCTCTGCTGACTCGCTGCTGTATGGCCACGATCATCTCCACCGCGTTCCCAAAGGTCGCGTTCAGCAAGCCCGTGACCTTCGAAGGAATCAAGATTCTCCGGATCTATTCAATTCTTCTAAAAACTCTGCAGGTGGTTAATTGGAATCCTTGGAACAACTATTATATATTCGTTCCTCAGCCTCAGCTCTTCCTGTCAGACCCTCTTGTGACATGTCAAAAAGATCCACGTTGCAGCCCAAAAACGGTCCATGGGACGCGTCCATGGGCCCTAGTGCTTGGTCTTAAAACACTATATGGCCCCTAGCAAACAATCAAAGGTATCTGACTAGCAATTAGCTAGCAGCATTGGTGGCAGTAGCAGTAGTGGTAGCAGCAGTAGCAGCAGCAGAAGTAGAAGTAAAAGTAGCAGAACAAGTAGAAGTAGAAATACTAGTAGTAGTAGTAGTAGTAGTAGTAGTGTAGTAGTAGTAGTCGTCGTCGTCGGAGTAGGAGTAGGCGTAGTAGTCGTCGTCGTCGTAGTAGTAGCAGGTTGTGTAGGTTGTAGTGGTTGTAGTAGCAGCAGCAGGAGTAGTAGTAGCAGCAGTAGTAGTAGGTGGTCGTAGTAGTCAAGCAATGCAGTAAGGATCTTAAAGGGCAACAGTACCCGAAGAATAAAACACAATTCTTAAAAAGAAACGCGCTGGGCGAAAAAACTTCCCATTATTCTTTCCACTTACACTATTCAGGGTGTTGGATTATAGTTTGCCAGTATACTCACCAGGATCTGACATTACCCACGAAAACCCTAGCTAAAACACGGGTCCAGGTCACGGGAGTTCCGCTGGGTCGAGGGTCGGTGTTAACCTCTGGGAGTCCGCTCAAGTCCTGTTTGAAAGAGACCCCCCTACCATCGGACGACGGTTGCGAAAAAACCGGCCATAAAGGATCAAACAGTGCATCATGTTGGAACCTCCTGTGTTCGGGAATTTCCTGCCAGGCGGAGCATTTCAGGATGCGTTGCCGCTTGTTCGAAGATTGGTTCAAGCGGAGTTGGTCAGGACCAACATTCCACAGAATGCCCCCCATTATGTTCCAGACTGTGAAACTACGTGCTCAGCCAAAGGAACTGAAAACAGGAGTGACAAAACCTGTTTCACCTAACTCCACCAAACATGGCGGTGAAAAAATCACAGTATAGTAGCTGGTTCAGCTGCTTTTCATTGGACACACCGATCCTCAGAAGAAAAAGCTGCTTGTTTGGTCTCTTTTGAGTCGGTCGTCTCGATTTCTTCGGGCAAAGCTAACTAGTATTTGGACGTGTTGGACGATGTTGGACGCCAGGAGGTTCAAAGCCGCCAGTCAGTCAAGCCATAGTTTTTGGATGCTTTCGGATGTGGACGTGGGCGGTGCTTGTCGTGGTGGACGTGGGCCTCCACCCAGGCTCCCGCAAAAAGCGACCGCTGCATCTTTTGCATGTTTTGGCGCAGTGCGCCACTGCAGAAACATGTTGGACAATGCCAAAGCCCAAGCAGCAACCGTTGTTCTGAAGTGCCACAGACACAAGTCCTTCGCGTTTGGTTCGCGCAGTTGCGCTTGTATGACATGCCCTTCCAGTCTCTTGCGCGGCCACTGCAACTGTGCAACCCAATGCTGGCTGTTGTTTAGTTAAATCCAAGACACTGGTGTGCCTTAGCGCAACTTTATTGCCGCAGAAACCCATCCGAAACAGCCATCATCCTATAGACAAGGCCTGTGGGGGACTGGCAATCTGACTCCCAATCAGCCGAGGTGGTTGAGAAATCAGGGGTCTTTCAGGTCGGCCTTCCCGACTCTCGACTGGTGTCTTTTTAGGCGATCCAAAGAATCTGTTTCTTTGTAGGTTGGGGTGCGCCATCGTCCACAAAAAGGCGACGATTTGTTCAAGTCTTGGCTTTATGTCCCTACGTAGGGCTCCGACCACCTCCTGACAAGGTGGTTGGGGTGGGGTTCGGGGGTCTAACTACTTTCTGAGGAAATGGTTGGAGCTCTAGGGTATTTTCATGGCCCTTACAAACTTCTCACTGATCCCACACGTTCTGAGCCTTCGATCACCTTTGAGAAGCAAGCATCGAATCTGGAAGCTCTTCCAGTGCTTCCGCTCCAGCTATATAACACAAAACTCGTAGGTTCCGCCGCGTTTGGAAAACGATAAGTAACAGCTCCAATGAGAAGCTCTATATTCGCCTCTTCATGATCGAAAAATGCTTTTCATTGGACCCTCGGGGCTTTCCCTCTTTCACCCTCTTTCCTAGGAACCATCTTGCTTCTTGCCGTGTGCGCTGTGTGCGCTCGAAACCGAGACCCACTGAAAAGGCCACGTTGGAAGAACTGAGCACCGCGGCTGTCCAGCTACTGGTCCAAGCTGGGGAGGTCCCAAATCATGACCGCAAGCTGCTGGGCCGTTCGGGCAAAAGAACTGCAACTGCTTGGGCACATGCCGCTCTTGGCATCGCCTCCTTGAAAAGGCTCAAATCCTTTTTTGGAGTCAAAGCTCTTCAACGATCCACCTTCACACCATACAATTTGGGTCTCCCGGGACCAGTGACCAACGGCTTGGGGTCAGCACACGTTCAGCATGTTTCACCTCACAAACCCTGGGCCCTGGTCAGTTGTTGTTAAGACATTCGGTTCGAGTCCCGGCTGCTTGGGTCTTAGCCTTAGCTCAAACCAAAATGGATTCCTTTGCTCGGACATGTGTCCATTTCGATTTGCGTGCCCGGTGGAGACCGCCTTGCACCAAGGGACTTCAAGAGCCAAACTGAATGACTTTTCCGAAGAACCATCGGGCAAAGCAAGAAATTTGAGACCACACCTACGAAACCAGGTCAACATTTTTTGGAGGGCCATACTGAAAGTCAGGGACAAGTCTTCACGAATGAAGACAACCCAAACCCCACCCACACACTCCCCCTGCTCAAACTCGCGCGACATGTTTTCTGAGAAGTGTCGTCGCTCCGATTGGGATGAATCTATATAGTTGAACATGTTCTATGTTCTGAATCTATGTTAAACATGTTCTATTATGTTCAAGTGGCATCTAATGTCTATAAGCCACTGTGCTCAGAACATTTAGCCAGGCAGCGGCACGCCTTCAGCCATGCAGTGAAGGTGTTCAAGCACAGCCGAACTAAACCGAGGAGGAGGCCATAAACTTTGCTTTCTAGAACCAGGTCAGAATATATATCCCATAGGGATCCAGTCGTACCTTCTCAGAAGGTGAGGAAGGAGACACTGTTATGGAGGGTCCAAGTGCCTTTTGAGAAGTTATACAATAGATGAATATCTCTTCGAAGCCAATTTGAGTTCACTTACTCCAATATGGATGTCTGTTTTCCCCAACTCGAACTCCGCAGGTGTCTGTGGCCCCCAAGCCGTATCATTGTGGATGCTTCCAGCGAGCTCCTGCGGCCATGTGGAGCTTGGAAGGTGCAAGCCGGGACTGGGGCACTCAAATGGTTCAAACTTTTTGCTGGGATTTCCCTAGGCTTCCAACCACCATTGATTTCATGGTGTTGTTTTACTAATTAAGGAATTTGCACTACAACAAACAACAGGTCAACCTTTCGTTTCAAGGTCTTGGAAGGCTGAGGATTGGACACCTCTTCAGTCAGAAATCACTGATCTGCCTGCCAGCCTGTTACACTGCAGGTGGACAAAAACGCATCGCACTTCTTGTGCAGAAAGAGAACAACTCGGCAGCCCTAGTACTAGAACCTGCCAAACGAAGATCTATACTATTTGTTCATCACACTCAAGCATTATGTGCACCTGGCTTGCGAGTGTGTCTATCGAGATACATCTTTTCAGAGAGGGATGCCAGGTGAGTGCCACTGCTTCACCAAGCATATGGTCAAAACAAGTGCGACGGGCAACATGGGGCCAGTTCCAAAATTTATCCATAATCCATATTAATATGGTATATATACAGCTTATATAATTCTTTCAACTGCAAAACTTCTGACTTTTCATCTGTGTATAACATCAGCCCAAAGTCGGAACATTTGCATATAGTTTGAACATCTAGGTATGTCACGGTATGTCTACATTGATCCCTTTTCAACACATATCTTCCAAGAATCTAGAAGTGTCTGGGGTGTCTTTGCAAGCAACTTGTGGCTCCTCGATCTGGATTAATAGGCAAGCCGGAATATGGACGAACACCATTTTCGAGATTCGCCGGGCCTTTCGTAAGTGAACAACCACCTGGAAAACTCATGAAGTGAACAAAGCACAGTATGGCGTTGCTTTGTGCGGCAAGGGTGCCGACCAAAGGCTTGCACACCTCCCCTGTGGGCTCTAACAACGAGGGCGCAACTTTCATTGAAGCATCCGCAACCACTTCAGGACCCATGCATGTTGGCTTCAAAGACTTCCCCAAACCTGTCAGTGTGGAAATTCTTGACCTTCAAGTGTTTGGGCATGTTTGGGCATTGATATGGATTGATGACGGTTGATGACTATTCAAAATTCAAACATCCTCGGTTTGCCACAAAAAAAACTCAAAAACATCAATCCTTTGATGGATCAGCTCATCATTCAAGTTCGATTCGACCCCCCCAAACGACCGGATCCCTATAGGGAAGAGGAAAAAACAAACAACATCAAATCTGATAACAATGGAATACCGTAGCTGTTTGACAACAAATCCAAAAACACACACATACATTAAAAAGGCTTGTTGGTGAACAAGCCGCCACCCGCAAGCCCGGCCTCGGTGGAATCCCCGAGGATCTTCGCCAGTGGCACCTGGAGCCACTGGAACCAATGCGTGACCAGCGTGAAGCAGATGCTTTTTGGGGGGGGAGGGCATGACGTCGAGTTTGGCTGAAGGGGTGGAGGGAGGTTGGTGGCCACCAAGGTGGGAGATGAAAGAACTGAGGGCATGATGGTTTGACACCCGGGAAACAGAAGAGACTGAAGAGACCCACATGGAACCGGGCTTGGCATGGACCTGCAAGGAAGGCTGTGTTCTCGGTTTTCAGGTTCCATGTGCATTTTCCAGGGTGTATTTCTGTTGGAGGGGTGCAGGTCGGTGCTGGCCACCATGGTGAGATAGCCACCTCTAGGTGGTATCTACTGTTCCTTAGTTCTTCACACGGCAGTGGCGATCAACACAGCGGCCATCCACCTACTAACTGGAAGCCCCCCGCAGATCCCCCACAGTGGTCCGCGCGAGAGGATTGGCGCGCGAAGCGCGTGCGGGAGCAGCAGAAACACAAGCAAGTCGCCGGTTTCTGATCAAACAAATCACCAACGAAAAGTGAGGAAATTACATTTAACCAAGCAATTCAGCAGGTTTTTTTTTAGTCGGTCACCCAAGTTGTGTGAACTCGCGCGAATGAAGATCGACCCTTTTGGAAGAAGATAGTCTTGATTTACAAACGCAAGGGTGAAACAGTCGAAAGTATGCCGGGATGGCCTATAAGGTTCCCTCTCTTTGCCAGCTTGCCAAAGACCGCGCCAAAGCAACATGTTGCGTTCACTGGTCCCAAACTTTGGTCGAACACCGTGAACTCCATAGTCAGTCAGGCAATGTCAGCAATATTTATGGGCACGCTTCCCCCAACACGTCACCCCCACCACGTCTACCGCAAATCAACAACAATCCTATGTCATCACCGCTTTCCCAGGTCGTTCTGCTAGAAGTCGCCGCTTCTTCGCTTTTGTGGCCGAGCGGCCAAAGCTAAGAAGTTCAACCAGAACCTGCACGACTCTGCGGCACGTTTCAGGGCCGACAACTGGGTCGCCTATCCAGCTCCAGGACCGTGGACTATTGACGTGATGAGTTGAGACATCTCAGGGGTCCTAGATTCCGTGGGGTAGGTCAACCTATCCCAGGCACTCCATGTATGCCAAATATGCCAAAACCACCCCAACTGATCGACATATTTTCCATACATGGAGTGTTTGGGTATTGCTTCGACCTTTTAAGCTTCACGGAGAGATTGGTCGCTGGTCGGGTGGTCTGCACCTGAGTGTCGCCTGCCGCGCATTCGCTCGCTCGCTCTGAGTGTCGCATCAGTGCGGGAGCTCCCCTCCAAACAAGATGCTCCTCTACCAGGGGCCCCACATGGCCCATCAAAAACCTGGTTTTCCTGAGCGAAAAACCTGTTTTTTGTATGTGAACACCTTTGTTTTTCAGGCCCCCTAGTAAAGAGTGAAAAATGAGAGTTACATCATTTCTGAGAGGCAGCCACCTCGTTGTCTGGCTGAAAAAGATGTTAGCTATAGAGGAGTTTGGCAGGGGTTGGCTCCAACAAAAACGGGTTTCGCATGGTGGACATCTGATCGACTGGAAGTGCTCGGCGAGCTTCAAAAGTCGAAGAAAGGTCGGTGACACCTAGCAAGTGCTTATAGCTTTAGGCTATAGGGAACTCATGGGAACTTCCTGGAGATCTGGTACTACCAGTGCTCCCTGTTTGAATCAAAAGGATGGATGCCGGCCCTCCGCCGCCAAACCACTAGGATCCTCTTACAGGTCCCTCCGAAACATGAACCACCCCCGGCCCAGTCCGGTCTCCAATCGGTCTTGCAAAACCTATCGGTTGCAGCCCCCCCCACTACGGGCCCCGACACGCAGCCCACGCCCCAGTCGAGGGCATGCGCCAAGATCTGTCATGGCGACACCGAGCACCGGGTGTTTCTCCGAACTCGTCCTCCGAAACCCCACGAGGATGCGACGTTAGGGTAGGGAATGGATGCCACTGGATTGAGATCGGGTGCTTCCGAACGTGGGGAGGTTCACCCAGGTTCCTGGCTTTTCACGCAACGCTGCAGCCGTTGGTCCGTCCAAGCAGCCTATAAAAATCGAATTGCATCAGAGATGCGTCTGTTGGCGAGAAGTCCGGCACTTAGATGAAGTTTTAGGCTTGTCGGGAATGCGGCCTAGGGATGCCTAGGGGCCTAGTCCCCAACTGCGGAAGGCCCGTCGACCCAGCACCCATCCACCACACGACCAGTGATAGCTCGACTGGTATTGGATGAGGGCAGCTCCATCGCCTTCCACCTCGCCTCCCCCCCCCCGGCCATCGCCGAATGAATCGACTCCAACGCTCGGTGCGCTGCCATCGTTGAAGCAGCCAAGATCTGATGGCTCGTGAAGCAAGGATCAGTGCACACATCCTGTGGAAACAGATCTATAGGCAAACAAAAAAGAACAAACCAGTGTTTGGCGGCCAAACTGGGCATTTCCTTCGCATTTCAACTTGTTTCAAGGGAACATCGTCCGAACTGCGACACCGTGCTTGCCCGGCTGTCAAACATGGCGGGGCCCAGCCCCAGCTGGACAGGCCAGCAGCAGCAAGCCTCGCGTGGAGCTCAGAAAGCCAAGATCCGTGGCCACATGGCACCACATGGCACTCTACAGGTTCAGTCTGACCCAGGTCCAGAACTTTTCATTGAGTGGTGTCTTTCGTATGACCCAATCATTCCGGTCCACCGTTCACGGCACCGCGTTCCAGTTGATCAGCTTTCGTCTTGGCCGATGCACCAGTTGTCGACCCGACTTAAAGGACGGCACTCGAACGGCGAGCAGCGGGACCACTGGCCAGTCCTCCAAGCACGGGGTGACGAGGTGAGCAAGATCGTTGACACCAAGCTAAGCAAGTCTAGAGTTGTCCCATCTTCGCCCCGCTGATCCAGTAGGTCAGTAGGGATGAGTAAGTAGGGAGCTGGATCCTCCAACATGTTTTGTTCATCTTGGACTCCAACACTGAGGTTGAAACACATCTCTGAAGGAAAATCATAGTTGAAAACTAAATTAAAACTATAAAAACTCTACCAGCACCCCAACAAGTAACTACCTGCCAACTACCTGGGTAGTCTCCCAATTTCAGCCACCAACCGTCGACTTGTGGATTCGGTGCTGGGATTCGGAGCCCTCGGGCGAGGCAAGAACACGCTAAGGACCAACGGTGACTAACCTGATCGGTGGGATTTGGAAGGATGTGGGGCCACCCCAGGGCCTGAGAGCCATGCCCCCCATAGTTGAAAACAGCCAGTTTGGGATTGAATCGATGTTAGGCCTAAGAACCATCCTGCTACATCCTGCCAAAGAGAACCCCAACATATCAATACAAATCACATATCCCAACCTCTTCAAGTGAGCAAAGATCGAGGTTCTAGTGTCCGCCTAGTGCCCCCCTCACGATCTGCAGGTCTTAGCGCCGCAAGTCGTAGCGCCGGACGAAGGATGCGGCCCAGCGACTGAAGGGATGATAAAAGATCGTCTTCAAGCCCACCACGTTGTCGGGGCCTCCGACTGTCAATTGCTCCGACTGTCACACGCACGTGTGGATCACGGCGCAGCGTGCGAGACGTGCATTGAGATCGGATGGGATGGGCAAACGGAGAGCACACAAGTTGCAAAGGTCTTGGTTTATAGATCTTTTGAGATGCCTGACCATCTCAATTGGCTTTGGTCCTAAATGTACATGCTTCTCATTGCTACTTCTCGGTCTCTGACTCTCTCTCTCTCTCACCTTGAGCCCTGCAGATCTTATCTCCGCCATTGAACGGGACGGAAGGTTTCGAGTTGCTAACGCCTACAACCTGTGAAGGACTTGCATATTTGCATAAGGGCGCTTCAAATAAAGGGGGCCAATGCAGCTATATATCTATATATGCAGCTATGGAATTATCATCAAAGTGGATGGCACATGATGGCACCACCTGTTTGTAGGGGAAACTGGTCATCCAAGGGGCCATGCCATCCAGGTGTATCCACGTAACCACGATTGCACCTACCAGAGCACCGACAAATCCCTGAAGATCTCAAAGGATGTCAACATAACACACGCACAAAGGTTAAGTGACCTTATAGGACCCTACAGGGGTACCTATAGGATAGTCTAGTTCGGGTTCTGACCCACCTCTGCCGGCATACCAGGAGCATCCTGGACTACCAGGTGTCCTGGCTACCCTACACCGGATCTGCTGACTCTCTAGGACACCCAAACGTCCAGCCCACTCCGATCTCTCCGATCTCGCGCCACTCGATGCGCTCCAGGCGCCGCGCCTACGATGTAGAGCACGGAATAAGTCCTGGCGACATCTGCCGTGAACAAGCCCGGGCGATTCGCAAACACAGCCTGCAGCATGCCAAGCAGCCAAACATGAACATCCCTTTGAACACCCTTCAATCAGAGTGTCAAACAGATTGGAAACAGATTCCAAAACACGTCGTCCGAAAAACACGGTGCCGGAAGCGGAGAGACGTCCCCAGGGGGGGGTCCGACGGGGTAGGAGGAAGCCAAACACACCATGTGTCCCAGATACTCCATGGGACTGCTATATATGCCATACAGCCAGGGGGGTCTTTCTGGGGCGGCAGTCCTATGGCAGTCCATGGAGTGTCTGGGTATGAAATTTTACACCTTGGAAGACTAACTGGTGTGTTTGGCTTGGTGGTGCATAACTTTCAAGAGACACCATGAACATGATCTTCCCTGGAACCAACTTGAAAAGATCATTTTCCCTCTACAAGCAGCGGGGGTTCCACTTCCATGTCTCTTCCAGGCAGAGTGTTCCTACGTTGACTTCGAATCAAACACCCCAACTGAGATATATTATATATATATATATAGCCAGTCCTATGGAGTGTCTGGGAATGAAACTCCATGGTGGTGCCAGTATGGCCTACACCCACCACCCAGAACCAAACGAAACATGGAGCGTTTGGGAACTGTTCTTGGAGCAGCGCCGGACTCCCCGACCAGTTGCAGGGCACCGCCCCAAGCTCCAAAAAAGAATAGACCATCCATGTTTGGCCTATTTATATACCGTATATATACCTCATCGGTCAATGAGGCATCTCTTCCAGTCCGAGGGATGGCCTGGGAACCGCCTTCTGCCCGTGACCTCACCCCTGAATCCAACGTCACGTTTGTCACGTTGCGGAAGAAGAAAGAAGCCGAGCCGGGCGTACTTCGCCGGTAGGCGTGATTGAACGTCATCCCCATCTTCGCGCGGGGGGGCCAACCTTGGAGGAGTTCTGTTTTCAGTGATGCGGTGATGCGGGGCTCCTTCCCCGAATGATCTCGCCAAGAAGGATCTACTGAACCGTGCGTTTGTTTGCCTGGTATCAGTGTCTATATATACATGTATCTACCGGGAATCTACTGTGGTTTTCCATTTGTACACTCTTGCAGGCCGGATTGCTATGAAGTCTGGAAAAGGCCGTATGCAAAGCGCTTCAGAAGGCAACCACAACTGGCTTCGGTGGCTCGTCATCTACATGATTTGGCAACAAGGAGAAACATGAACATGTGTAGCATGTGCTCAAAGCGCCGAAGGATTCCGAATCCCATGAAACTAGTTCTTCCATGTTCTTCCTCTATCCAAGAAAGACATCAGGGGGATTTGAGCGAAGGTGGTTGATTGGATTCAAACGATCTGGGATCTTCTGGAACCTCGACTTGTCGAACATGACTATCATGGCTGGTAACTTTTGCCCCAACTCGTGCCCTAAAACCGGAATCTATCCATCTGCCACTACCAGTTTCCATCTGTGGAATCTGTGGACGCTCCTTGCGCAGCGCACCAAGTCTTGAAATGTCCGTCCTGGTCCCGTCACTCGCGGATTGGAGGCCCTCGCTGTGGATTGGAGTTGGGTCGCTTAAACTCCAAGTTGTGTAGCCGATGTCGAAGCTTCATCGCCATGGCCTGGGCTTGGGTCTCAGGGCTCCAAGCATCTCTTCCATCTGTTCCATCCGGGGAAGTCCGGCGCCAGGGTTGCCGGAGTCACAATCGAAGATCCATGAAACTGACCTTTTGTAGAGGAACACGGTCGTCCAAGAACAATTCTCCGCTTCCATGACCAGTTCAGGGAGTGTGCTTCTTTCGAAGGTGCCAACCAACATGTGCCTGTTTTCTTCATGATCGATATGTCTCCCCAAGTCGGGTCATACAGTAACTCACAACAAGCTCCTTTGACCCAACAACTGGGATGACCCGCCCCAATTTTGCCGCTTTGACCTCCCCAAGTTCAAAGCCTTCCTCGCCCAAGGCTTCGACCTTCACACCCCAGCTTCGAGCATCACAGCGTCTCCCCATCAATCCGGTAGCCTTCAACTTGATGGGGTTGATGACCGCTGTCTGCCGTCCGTGCCCTTGCCACGGCTCCTGGCACCGAGTTGTGCAAAGGGCACAACGCCGAAGGAACTGCACCTTTTGGGATGTGCCTGTCGAAGGACACGAAACACGGACACCGTAGCTTGGAGACATCAGCCGGCTGAACAGTTTGATTTTATCTTTGCTATAGCCGGAGGCTCAGAGTGGTTCGTACAGAGGCTCATGGTTCCATGATGTTCCGGCCTCGCGTTTGGGAGTTGAACCGCCGGTGTAACAACACTCCGTCGTTCGTACGCGGTCCCGTACCCGCCTGCCAGTCATGTTCTCGACCCCTTAGGGCCGGATTTTAGGCTGGAGCGATCGAAAGCGAGCAGCGAAACGGGTAAAGTCACGAGTGAAGTTCTGGTTTTGTACGGAAATCTCTTGGCCATTGGATTCCTTCCATTGGGAGAATCTCCGGAATTTGGAGTTGCCTTCCTTTCCCATGCGTGCAAAGGAATGCAAAGGGGGGTTGGTTCAAAATCACTCCTCACCAGCCCTGTAGAGCTGCCCGACCTAGGTGCATCCTATCGACCCAGCCTGTCAAAACCAAGGTCATAACAGTAATTCAGGGTCTCGGTCAGCCCCCAAGCCCCTCACACTAGCTTGCCCTTAGCACAAACCTTTTTCCGCATTTCAGCTGTGGCTATCCCCGGCATGAAACAGCCACTGAAAAAGGCGCTATTTCAACCAGAAGGCATGGTGTCGACGGCATTTCTTCTGAGCCCCAAGGAACCAAATACCAGAATGCAAAAGCAAACACGCATGTTACGCATGTTATATACTTTGGGAAGAGAATCGTTGGTCTTTCCCATCATTCTTGATGATTAAAACACATTCCTTCTTCCAAAGGAATCTTTTTGGGTGACCCTTGCTCAGGACTGAGCAGCTTGCCCTTCAAAAAACCTCTTGACTGTGAGCATGTGGCGAGGGGCATCCCTCACCTCCACAAGTGATCACCCCTGGGCGGAGCCAGGGCCCCAGAAACATGATGAAACATCTAACATGCCATGTTCGACTCCAGAAAAGCTCAATAATTGTGCCGGTTGGTTCGTTGTCCGGCTTCTATAGATAGCCGCATCGGTGCAATTCTCCAATCAATGTCAATCAACACTACGTCATCAACGTGAAGGGATGTTCTTTTCGTCCTCCACGGGTGGTCCCTCGGTCCCGACGTCCCGTTACGCGTCCCTCCACCGGAGGTCCGGAGTCCCACCACTCCACCGAGCCGCGAATGTCGACCCGAGGACCTGCAGGCTCCGGTGGTGCGGGGGTTTCCTGCACCTTGCCCCCTCCAGGACACCCCTACTGGAGGTCCTGGTCGGAGGTCATAGTAGGGCTGCGGATAGGATAGGGGTGCCCCTGTCACATCCACTCACTTCGTGACAAAATCCACCCCGTAATTTGCGAAAAGGCCATAGCCTCTCCAAGATTGCTCGCAATTTCCAACAAATTAGGCGGAACTCAGAAGAGAGGCCTGGCAAACGCTCTTACAGGCCCCAACCTTCCACATCCTTTTTGCTTCAAACAAAGTCTGTTGCATTTCTGGATCTGGCTCATGTTTGGATCCCCCAGTATTGACCGGAAGTGTCAGTTGGGACTTATCTCCAACTCCTGCAGGAAAGTTTTTCAAGTGCACTATAGCATCTCAATCCTGTCGCCGCACTTGTCGCCGCCTTTCAACGCCCACGCCGCGTTTCAACGCACACGACCCCGACCCCCAGGTTTCCCCTCCCCTTCCGACTCTCGCGACTCCCTTCCCGGCCAGTCCGACAACTGGGACTCTGCGCTGGCCACTGGGGCTGGTCTTCATCAAGGGCGCTCGCAGCGCCATCGCCAGCCCTGTGACGGTGAGGGTCATCGACGTGCGACGTGCGGCGATGGAATCCTCGACGCGCGCGCGCGGAACCCTTTTGCGCCGGTCAGGAAGGAGGAAGACTGGTCAGTCAGGCAGCTGTCGGAGCGATGGAAGAATAGACAAAGAACAGTCCAACTTCTTCAATCGTTGAACCGACCTCGACAGTTAATATATACCTATGACAAGTCGGCTAGGGGGTCTTCCTTATACCCATTAACCTACATTGCGAGTGGCTTAGCTGGAGACATGTATGGACATGCTTTGGATGGATCACCGTAGAAGATTACAGCTTGGGTCCCACCCCCTTTCCGCTAAATAAACCTGTCTTTGGATGGATCCTCCTAGGCTTTTGAAGTCATCAGACCCAAATCTCTTGGGATTTGTGCCTAGTAATTACAGTACATGTTACATATTATATTATCATATATGATATACCTGGATCCTCCTTTGGGCGGAAAAAAGTGCCGGACCTCAATCCGGCGAAATTTTCCGCCGGATTCCGAAAAAAACGCCGGAGACCTGAAAAAACATCCGGATCCAAGATTCTGAAAAACAGAGATGATAAAAGGTTGGATCATACACAAGGAAATTGCCTTTGCGCCGCGAGTAGTTCTTCTGGAGCACACTCGAACCTTCCCGTTCCCATTGCCCTCGCCCATCTTCCGAATGGCCTAAGAGCAGAACCATCACAAAATATAAGCAACCTGTGCCCACTTCCAAGAAGAAACCAAGGAGCATGTGGCAGTGAACTCATCTTTCTCTGCAACCGTGTCTCTAAAGTGTTTTTTTACAAAGTGGGTTGCTCTCCATGGTTTTTATGCTTCTTAATGTTTCTGCTTGCCTCAGGACGGCCCCCCCAAGAAAGTAGCAGAACTCATGGCTCCTGTCAAAACTCTTCTTTGAAAAACTGTTCAAAGTCAAAGCCAAAGCCTGCAGAAGACTCAGTCCAAAAGAGCCGCCGGAGTTACGGGAAATTACGCCGGAGGTACGGGAAATTACGCCGGAATTACGGGAAATTACGCCGGAGTTACGACGTGCCATTTTTTGACAACTCTCTGCAAAACATTAAGATTCTGAACAACACATGTTCCACAGCCCAAAACTTGTCCAGCAGGCTCTGCAAACCTGCGCAGCTAGAACTATATCCCAGCGCCCCGACATCCTGAAACAATGGGAGTACATTTTTGCCTATGCTCTTTCAGCTTAGGTACGCCCGCTTAGGTCTTTCAACAGGTGCATCGCACTGTACCGGCTTCATCCGATGTCCTTTAGAAGAATGCAAAGCCTTGAGAATCCACATAAAGTGACTTGGAAAAAGTGCCGGACCAAATCCAGAAAAACGCCGGAGTTGGAAGTCCGGCGCCGGACCCTGTAAAAGTGCCGGACCGAAGATCTAGGTATATATATATATATATTATTGATATAGTATGGTGTCCTCTGGGTAAGCTGGTCTCCCTCAAGGCTCCCTCTGCGTATCCTGGTCGCTCTGGGAACTCAATGGCTCTATAAAATGGGGGGGTCCCACCCCCTTTCAGCTAAATATATCTGTACTTGAATGGATTTGTCTGCTGGGCCATCAGCCTCAAATCTCCTAGGATTTGAAGATCAAATGCCAAGTAGACCAAGATACTCATTAAATCCACACCTCAAGACGTGGAACTTCCTTTGTAAGATCCAAGTGAGCCTCCAAATTCCCACATAAACTGCTCGAAATGGCTCACCCCTTCTGCCATATATTGCTCGAACTTGGCCTGCCAGTGTTTCACAAAACAAAGGATGAAAAACCAAGTCACCATCGATTTGCCCATTCTGCCGGACTTCAACTTGGATCGATTTGTCCTGAAAAACCACATGGTATGCTATATCATTTTTGTATATGTTGTTCCCAATTGTCAAGCTGGATTTGACATCGTCCAGCGAGATGCCAGACCAGAACTGCTTAACCAACGAAGTATCTCGGGACAACACTTTGAGCACACATCCAACGTTCGCGATGCCAGTTCTGCCGGCCAGGAACGAATGCGTTATCGACATCGCAAACGCATGTGGACACCGGGGAGACTGCATTATTGACATCGTGGGTGTGCTCGTCCGTGTGACCGAGACAAACAGACCGAAACAGTCAGACGCACACACTCCGCGCGGGTGGCTTCGAGCGCGAAGCGCTGTGAATACCATTGGTCATTATAGTCATCATATCCTTCACCATCATCGTGGCCCTCATCTTCACCTTCATACCAAGCATTGGGGTCCTCCTCGTCATACCATCCTTCCTCACCCCAGTCATCCATCGGGACAAGCTCTTCTCCTCCAGTCTCCTGCAAATAGTCAGGATATACCATTGCTTCCCATTGCACAGCATTGTCCATCTGGCCTGTGATGTCACTCGGATCGGCGGCTTGATCCCACCTGTCAATTTCATCAGCTGCAAATTCCAACTCCGAGGTGTCAAAGTCCAGATTTGGGTCTTCATCAATTGAGGGGAAATGCCCAGGGGGGACACCTTTTGGAAACCATTGGTAAAAATCATTGGTCTCTTCCGCACTCAACTTTTCCTCGCGTGCACACAGCCGCTGTCTCACTGGTTTTGAGAGCTCCCAGACGTGCTTCCTAATGTGTCGGAACATCCTCAGCATCTTGTGCGACTCCCGTTTTACTGCTTGTTTGCACCATGCAATGAAGTCTGGACCAACGCCTTGTGTGGCCCATCGGACCTTTTATGTCTGGCTTCTCCATGACAGTTGTATGGCCCTTTTATGGCTATGAAAGACGATCGTTTGAGTCTTCTCCTTTCAATGATTTCCTGTGGGCTGGGCACTCGTCTTCTGTAGCAACCAATTGCCAGTTCATCTCTTGACACCCAGAAGGAACCTTGTCCAAGCTGACGAAGCTTTGTGCCGCTGGATGAACTTCAATGCTCGAATCAAAGTTTTCAATGCAACGTTTGCATCCATGATGTGACGGAAGACAACCTAAGCCCGTGTCAGGTCCACCACAAGCGGGCCCAAGAATTCATCACTTCCGTTTGGATGGTTGTTCATGTGAGCAATGTTGGGCATTGCCAAGAGAAAATCGGCACCGGCTGCAAAGACTCGCTGCAAACTCAGCATGGCCAGTCTTTCTTGGGTAGTCATCTTGTGTCTCTCCAGGACTTCAGAAAAAGTCTCTGATCTTGTGGCCATCTGGTTATCGGTTAGTTAGTCCAACTTCATTCATGGATTTACATGTTTTATTCTATGTGTTATTTCTATTATCCCTTTATGTTATTGCCTTATGAATTTCCACGTGTTTGCACTGCCTTTGTTCCGGTGGTAGTATGGGCTGACACTAAAGTTACTAAAGACAAGATCTCTGAGACATTCGATTGACGTTTTGAACTCTTATACAGTTTTTGATCGTTGTACCTATTTTCTCGCAACTGTAAATTCACTGTAAATATGGTTTTGGATCAAGACGATCTCTGTCAAAGCAATATCTTGTTTTGTGATGCACTCTTTGATAAGCCAACATGCACCACATCACATTTCGAACTCAATCGCAAGATCAAGCATCAAAACACCACCAGTTCTCTATAAAATGACTCTCCAACCCACTGAGGGATCTACTGCCTAAAACGTTTTATGAACATGTAACCCCCCATGTTTATAATGGATATTGCCACGGAGATGTTCTTATTTATCATTCTGATTGTGTCCTCCATCTCTGCCAAGCACCTCAAGGTACATAACATCAAGAACCGGCTCTTCAGGGTCTGATCGTTATCAAAATTCAAAAGCCCAAACCAATCCCAGACACTCCATGTATGCCATATATGCCTACATTGACCCCCCAAACCACCCCAATGTAGGTAAATATGCCATACATGGAGTGTCTGGGAATGGTAGTGGTCTGGGCTCTGGTAGATGCGGTCACAAGAATCTCGGTTTTCGTTCCACCAGACCTCCGTTTCACGGGTGCCCGGCCTGGACCACCGCCCGGACTCGGGAACCACTCGTGGAGCCGACAAGCAACGGGATCAGGGTCCGACTCGACCGGAGACTTGGACTGGAAGAGTTCAGCCCCACCCTAGTAGCTTCTAGCTACTAGTAATGGCCTCCAAGCTAGTAGCTTCTAGACCCCCCAAAGCTGAAGAACGAGACACACCCGTCCCCGAGTTGGCGCATCTGATGTTGATTTAGATGTTGGAGTGGAACAACACACATGCGCACTGACGCCGGCGTGGTTAGGTTTCTTGAGTCTCCAGTCTCGCACCCGACATGGAAGGTCCTTGGTGCACAGGGCCACGCACAGATCTGCATGTGATGTGATTCAGAAAAAGGATCTGCTAGAATGGAATCCGACCAATAGCTGAAACATCTTGCTCTGCGGAGCTTCCTCTGCTCCCACATGGTTTTAATACTTGGCCAACTTCTCTAGCTAGCTGTTCGCAACGACGAGCCGGATCCACATAGACATACCCTCTGAGGTACCGTGAAGTGTTACACTTCAGCGCCAGTGTCGGGTCCAATCAATCGGTCCAGTCGTACCTTCTGAGAAGGTATGTGGATTTCTGGGGAATTCATACAAACGCCGACATTGAAGGGCATTTCTGTTCAGCAGCGAGATGGATACGGAAGGCCCGGCGTTCGTCTCGAGTTACCCAAAAAGCCCAAGGATGGCCCGGCCGATGTAACAATCGACCGAACAGTCCGGTCTCATATATGCATTTGGGTTTTGAAATAGTGAATGATGATAGTGAGGTTGCAAACCTTCCCCAAAAAGATAAATCTATTATATATTAATCATCTTTCACTGACTCCTTACAGGCCATTGGGGCACCCTAAACACACACTATCTCCGATCCTGGCGACCCCAAGCGATCCGGCCCGGGACCCCTCTTTTGGGACCGCCGTTTGGGTCGATCGGCGCGGTTCAGCGGCCATCGCGGTTCAGCGGCGGTGGCGTGCGGATCTCAAGAGTCCTATGCAGTCGGTGCGATCCGGGTTTCTGCTGAATTGGTCTGATGCCTGGGCCGCTGTCGAATAAGAATGGGTGGGAAGCCGGAAGCAAGAGCTTCTGCATTTAACATAACACCAAACAAGTCCAAAACAGACATCAGTCATGGGCATGGGTGTTCAACTAAAAGTGAGCTTCCTGCATATTTCGATTTCTTAGATTTTGAAGAGGTCTTGAATTCTCATCAGGTCTCCAGCACATCTGGTCCAGCAACCCCTTCGACTCGAAGCCGTTGCCTGCAATGGAACAGCTGCTAGCTCTGCTGGATCTTTCTTCTCATCAACTGGGGGGGTTCAATGAAAAGAGCAGCTCGCTCAAGTGAGACGTGTAGGTCGAAGCCCAAGAAGCTCCGGCCAGGACGTTCTGCGGCTAACAGATCTCGCCCAAACGCGACCTGTCTGGGACTGGACATTTTTGCTGTTGCAGAAAGACCTTCTTTCAATCAACTATGCCATATATACACTCAATACATGGAGTACTTTGCTTGGACATGTCTTTTTTACATCGGAGGACGGGTTGAGACATAAATAACGTTTTACGGTACAGCTTTGCTCAAGCCATCCTGCACCACCCAACGGCGTGCAAACGACCGATCCACCCCTCTAGTCCTGCTGTAACATGTCCCCCATTTTGACCAGTCGGTCCAGGTCGCCTGGTCCTGAGTCACCTTCAGTCCCGAGTCACATCATGGTGGTCCCAGGTGGTTTCTAGTCCCATCCAGTGAGTGGAGTAGCTGGCCACCCTGACTACCTCCATGGATACTACCCCTTCGTGGCTCCTGGTGATTTTCTATTTTTTGTGGTCAACGTCAGCTGACCTGACCTGGAGGGGCGGCATATCACGTCTTTGGCAAAGAAGAACGACGCTTGAGCTGTGATCATGAGTGGCTTACGGTGCAGTTCAGCTCGGCAAAAACTCTGTGAACAGATCCTCTGTGGTTGATGACGGATCAACACGTACCTATGGAACCGCATGGAACTAGACCAAAATCAAGGCTATAATGAATAAGTACCAACTTCATTCCACTTCCCTTTACGGTTCTTGACCTATAGAATTTTTGTACCAGCACTTCCCCAAAAATCCAAAAAGGGGTGCTTAATGGAGGAAGACAGGTGCCCCGGTCACATCCACTCACTGGATGGGTCTCAAAAACCACCTCGACATGGAAAAAGGAGCCTTTATAAAGCTTTGGACGCCAGACTTGTACAGTACTTAGCATGACTTAGCTAAAGCACCAAATCTTTCGGCAAACTCGCATGCCAATGGCCAGGACGTCGCTTCTCTCAGATCGACCGGACGAGTGGGAGTGAGTCGAGCACCTCGGAGATGCCGCCGAGTCGACCGGAGATGCAGCCGACCATGGTAACCGACCTTTTCTTTAAAATGTGTGTGTGTGTGTTTATGTGTGTTTTCTTTCACAAGCTCAACTTGGTGCATTTGGTTTTTGGAATGGATAAATTTTGGGGGGGATCTATACCGTTTTGTTGGCTCATGTTGGTTCCATATCCATGACAGCTAGGGCTCGAGGAGATGATCTTGACATCTGGGCACGTGCCATGGCTTGCCGACAATGAAACGCTGTTCGATCCTCACAAGGGCCGAACCCCTCAGGTGATCTTCGGTGAAATTCTGAAACATCTGTTCACATACCATTGAAATCAGCGGTGAGTTTGGGGACCAACATGGACCAACTCACTTTCTGGGCCTTCCGTGACGGCTGGTCAATTTCCGTATGCCCAATCCATGTCAGCCTTGACAACGATTTTACTAGTACACTCCAACATGCTACGAAACAAACATAAAACACAGGCTCCATCAGGTGGTTGTTGTGAAAAGGCCCCTGAAATCCTTCTATCAATGCCCGGTCCCCAATCAGTGTAAAGCTTGTTTATATTCAACAAGTGCCCTTGCACCCAGCATCCTTTGTATCACGGGGTCTTGTGAATTCTGGTCAAAAGGCTCTTGTGACTCTTGTTGCTTCTGCCTTTTTCCGACCATCCTTCCCCCCAGCCATGCGCCGGACATCCCCGCACGACCCTGCCCTGCCGAGTCACGTTGCCTTTCCTAGTCCGAGTTGTGCCTCGGCTTCGCCTGTGCAGCAAAACAGGTATACGTCCGCATGTGTTTGAGAGGGCAAGCGTGGCGCGGGGGGGGGAATTAGTTCGTTTCCCGCATCCACCCGCTTGAGCCTGAGGATGTTAGAAGGGATGTCAGCAATCATGACAACATCCTAGAACCCAAATGCTCCAAACAACCCTTGACCCCAAACCCCTCCATCTGAGGGTATATATGAGGGTACCAGGGTGGCATCTGGGAAGTGTACATCCCTGAAGAATAGGGACCGACTTCGGACCCTGTGATGTCGGTGCGGTGGACTTCTGGGACCCGACATCCGTTCGGCTTCAACGGTCTCCGCGGCGCCGGTGGCAGCACATCAAACGGCACAAGTAGCGCTACAGACGGTCAGCACAGTGGTCATCCATTGCATCAAGACGTGCCGGAACCGAATAAATTGATGGAGCGGTCATGTGTCATGTGACTCATGTGATCCGAATTCAACCGCCGACAAAACAATAAACGGGTCAATAAACATGGACTCATGGGTGTGCTGAAATTCCAACACTGGACCATATCTCAGTTGACCTTCCATTCTGTTTGCTTGCTTTCAGCTCCGAATGTCACAGACACACACACACTTGCTTTCAGCTCCGAATGTCACACACACACACACTGTTTTCTACTTTTATATGATCTATCCCTGCTTTATGCATCCAAAGCACTTGTCCAGCTTCCACCCCACCCCTTCAGGTCACTTGTGGGGTGCACCTCTTCCAATTCTCACCCGTTGCACCCATGGAAAACTGCCCATTCCCTCCATTCCTCGACCTCCGACGACGACGGCGACCGAAGCGGGCGCCTTGGCCTTGGGGTGCCAAAAGCCCGGCGCCTGGCGGCCCTGCCAAATCCCTGGGGGGCAGGTCCTCAGCATTGTGGCGGCGAAGCTGCGCAAATACTGGGGGGGGGCGAGTCGGTTCGGCGCAGGTTTGGTGAGGCGTACCGTTTGTGTAGAAGATTGCAAGTTTTTCCCGAAAGCACCTGCGAAGGGTTTTTCCTTAAGCACTGCTGCCTATTTCATCTTCCTTAATCTCTTTCTCTTACTTCATCTTCCCCACTCTCTCTTCCTTACTCTCTTTCTCTTACTTCATCTTCCCCACTCTCTCTTCCTGACTCTCTTTATCCTACTTCACCTTCCTTACTTCATATTCTTTACTAACTTTCTCCTACTTCACCCTCACAACATCATCATCTAATCATCACCTCATAGGTTATTAATCTCATATCATATCATATTATATCATATCAGGTTATAATATCATATCACATCACATCAATGTCATAACATATCATATCATATCATGTTTTAATATCATATCACATCACATCAATGTCAGATCATATCATCTCATATCATGTGATAAAATAATATCACATCACAACATAACATATGAAGTAGAAGTATCAGATCAACAATATCAAAGTACATCAGAAGTAGATATTGATAGGTAGGTATTGATAAGTGGGTATAGACAGGTAGGTGTAGGTAGGTAGGTGTAGATAGGTAGGTGAAGATAGGTAGGTGAAGATAGGTAGGTGTAGACATCTTCCTTAAGACACCTACCCAACTTCACCTACCCAACTTCTTCTTTATTCTTCTCTTTAGGCGGCGGGGCGGTGCGAGCAGGTCTTACGAAACGCAACCCTCTCGTGGAATCGTGGCCATCGATCGCGCGCGCGTGTGGTGAGACGCGAATCGCGTTTGTCCGTGAGCAACCCTCTGCGGAGATCGTGCGTGTCGATCGCGCGAACGTGTGGTGAAACGTACATTTTTGGTGTGCGCGGTGCGTTCCGCCATTATAATTCTGGTGACAAGGTTTTGTCGATTTTGCGTTTCCCCATTGTAATTCTGGTTTCAAGGTTTGCCCTCGAGCAACCCTCT